AACTTGCTGTAATATCCAACCCACACTTGAGCGTCGTTTATTCATCTGACAGCATGTGACGGACATCACTGATGCACCAAACGCTGGGATGTGAGACAGTTTCAGTCACAACAACCGGCTGCGTCACATAGAATTGAACAGGGGAGTGACTGGGTGGTGAGAAGCTTGGCTCTGCTGTGTGTCAGTTTGATGGTGCTGAAAATGGGCCTTTTTTCCTTAATATCTACATTATGTCATGAAAAAAACATGAAAATTCAATCTTCCTATGAGTCCTGTAATAGGAGGTTTTAATGATGCTGAGGTGTTCATTCTGTGTTTTTATTGATTTCTCAAACGTTGGTGCGTGATTATGTGATTACTGCTAAACTGTCTTTTTTTTCCCTACAAGAACCAAACCTATAAATCAGCTGCAGCACCATAAGCTGAGATATATTGCATAAGTGTATTTATGGGCTGATAAGAAATAAAAATGCCGAAATATAAAACCCGATGTGTTTGGAGTCATTTCTGTAGTGTTTACTTATCAATCATGTAATATAGATAATATATCATTTCATCAGATTTTTAAAACTAAGGAAGGGAATCATAAATAAATAATGAAAAACAAAACAAACTGGACTCCAGAGAGTTCCTCCACCGTTCACATGAGGGAGCAGCTACTCGGCTGGAGGGCTGCGGGCTGGAATTCAATAAAACCCACTGTGTGGTATGTAGCACTGCCTTGTATTGGCAAACCAAACCCCTGGCCAATGTAATCTCCTTCAGCAGACTGGAAGGATTTGGATACCGGCCTATAAAAATATGTGTCGTCCTAAATACTTGGTTGTTGTAGATCATGCAGTTAAAATGTTCATGTCTGACCAGAAGTGTCTCATGTGCTGTGTGTATGATGTGTGTGGTCCTTACATGTTGGCACTGGGCTCTGACAGGTAACTCCAGCCCAGCCTTTGGCACAGATACAAGAAAACTGGTTCAGCTCATCCACGCACGTCCCTCCGTTCGTGCAGGGAGAAGATGCACACTCGTTGATGTCTGGGGGAAATGCACATAAAGGAGGTCACACAGGGGAACTCGTGGTGCTATACGTCCGGAGACACAAGGACGTACGCAACCTAATAACGCTGGAAATTCACAGAACGTGACATCATGACATATGGATGTATTAAAGAAGAAATATGAGGAAATAATGGAGCGCAGGAGTTAATGTGCAGTGCAGGAGAGAAGCCACATCTTGATCAAACAGCCTTTGAGCCGTTATCTCAAAGTCAGCGAGCTGTCAGAGGACACTGAGGTTGGAATATCGCATGTCGCGGCCCTGAAAAAAGCTCTCTGGACAACCACCAAAGTACATAAAAAAAAGGAAATATGATCACATATGAAATGTATCTCTACGTAGAAAAATGCTGGTGACGCGCAGAGAGAGGAAGGGCAGCAGAAAGCAGGAGACGGAGAGGTCACAAAGAGCACGATGACAGGGTCGTAAAAGTGATCAGTGGGCCAGATAGCGGGATGAGTGATGGCCTGGGGAGAAGCAGCGGAGAGACGCCGGTGGGAAGAGGAGGCAGTTGGAGGAAATGACCATGACAGTGACGCCAGGCGGCAGAAGACCGATCTCTCACCTCGGCAGGCGGGTTGCTGGCCGCTCCAGGTCAGGCTCTCCTGACAAACTCTGCTCTCTGCTCCCACGAGTTCATAACCAGGGTCGCACAGGAAGTGAACCTCGTGGCCCACGCCGTGCGACTTGCCAAGTTTCCTCCCGTTGAGGGGAGCGTCCAGTTTAGGGCAGGTGCCTGGTAGAGGGTGATTTTAAAAGAGAAGCACATATTTTGACGTGTAACATTGAAATAAATCAGCCTTTCTAATGGTTTTGCTTACTGTTGATGGCTTTGGTGGTCTGCTTTCCGGCGGCACTCTGCAGTAAATTTATTTTCTTCTTCAGGTTGCGGAGACTCTGCAGGTAGGAGGCTTCATGGGCTGACAGAAGCTTCTGGACCTGCTTCAAAGAACCTTGTATTTCCTGCCTACTGGGACAGTCCTGGAACAAAACAGAGGGGTTGAATAAATTCAGAATTGATCTCATGGTTCAGTGATCACATCAGAAAAATCTTTACCAAATAAAGAGTGATTTACTAAAAACAGCCTCAGAGTTACAGGTTCTTTAATTTAGTAATTGTATGTTTCTTGTATGATCCTCAGGAGCGTGTTGTGGATTATATAATATTACTACGGCACAAGTTTTCTATGAAAGTAATGCCGTCTTTGCTGAATTTATGAACGGAGAAAAGCCATTCCTCTGGCTCGGGTCAGTTAAAAATAAATATTTATCAACGTAGAAAACTCTCCTGAAACGAGAAACCCAGAGACCACAAGCCAATGACGCCACTGATTTATGAGCAGAACTAACTTTCCATTCATTTAAACTTTTCCATTCATTCACAAGACATAAAAAAAAAATTTTTTTTTCTTTTAACACAAAAAATGTTCACAGTAGCCATTTAAACATCACTTTTCAGACACTAGATTAAGTCACAGGAGTTACAGCAGCATGTTCGGGTTTCCATGTCCTATAATGCATATTAAAAAGGTGGAATCTACACCAAACAGATGCTGTGGTGGTAAGAAAAAAACATACTGGAAAAAATATGAAATATCACTTTCACAAAAGACATTTATTTATTCATTCATTTATGTGTTGAATTGTTTTTTCACCTTTATTTATTTTCATTTTTTAAAAATTTATAGATTATGTGTTTTCATTTGTTTTTTTAATTTTGTTTTTTTGTGTTTTTTGTGGAGTTTTTTTTGGCATTTCAAGGTTTAATAAAATACAACATCACATGTAAAACAATGAAATTAGCCATAATATATTCTAATAGATGGACACATAAAATCACTGTTTTTGTAATTTCATGGATATTTTCATGTTTTTTTTAAAAATTTGATTTAAAAAAATTATATATTCCATTTTAAATATATATATATTTAAAAATCGTTACAATAAAAATTTAAAAAATGTCCAAAATACATGTTTTTAAAGGTGTATTCTACCAATGTGGTTAATGTGCCTTTATCGATGTTCATAGACTACTACTACTACTAATACTTTTGTAATGAAACAGTTTACTTGTACATGTCTAACGAGATTATTTCGATATTTGCAGAGATCCAAACGCCAGCTGACAAACACAAGCCTCCTGAAGAAGTGCACACGGGCACTCGTGCATTACAGAAGCGAAGGTGTTCGTCTGAGGGCGTAGATGCTGCCGGGCTCAGACTGTGTTTGGCTACTGTAAGTATTTGGAACCTCGTCACTGGCCAGCCAGCTTGATCCTGTAGCTCAGTCCTGAACACAGAGACAGTTTGTGTGCGTTCTTGTGATGTGGTTTTAGGTGTGACCTTCTGCAGCAGCTTGAAATCTTCTTTAAACAAAGTTATGTAACGACCACGAGTCATTTTAGGAAAAGGGGATGATATCAAAAAGCTATATATCTTGCATTATGGGTAATTACTCGTGGGGGTCACGCAGTCGCCCTCAGCATAAACATCACCTGTGTTACAGGCTGCCTTCCCATTGGCTGGAGGTGAGAGGGAGTGGCGTGGACTTGTTTGCGGCCCCAGTGTGCCTTTTTTCCCTCATTACTCTGCTTCATTCAGCAGCATCGTTCTCGACCTGCCCTGTCCTCTCATGCATGTTTTCGGACAACCAATTAGTGTTTTCATCCAGCAGGAGTTATGTAAGAAGAGTCAATATTTGTTGAAAACACCTTTCTTATTTAGCCTGAACGGGGGGTTTGGAAAGGCTTCAGTCATTCAGGGGGGGGGCGGTGGTGGTGGCTGGTGTTTATAGTGTAGTTGTCAAAGGCCTCTTTCTGCCCGTGCAAGGCGACATTTCGCACGGCTTCATGTTAGCTGATGTGTAGGAGGCATGTCGGTTCAAAATCACACTACAGTTCTATGTAATCTAACCAGATTTATAACTATGGAAGGAAAAACAAAAACCAGCATCCAGACCTAAAACCATCACATTACAAACACATAATCAGGTTTCTCAGTAGAACACAAACAAACACACACACACATGCACCCACACAGGCGAGCATGCAAAGGCCCTAAAGAGAGTCATTCACAGTCAGATGCAGTTTCTTGGAAATGTTTAGCAGGCTTGCAGTGAAGCACAGCCCAGATATACTGAGTTAATTCAGCCTCTGAAGCCTCTGGGATGTTGTTCCTGAAGCTTGCGTGCAAAAGTAGAGGTGACTCAAGGTTCGCTTTGTCAGAAATTTTCTCTGTCATGGCAAGTAAGGACATTCAAGGTTGGACTTATTGAGGCACTTCAGAACAGACGGAGATTTATTAAATTTGGGGAATTGTGTCTTTTAAGCCATACGTAATTCTAATTAGAAACATGCTGGAAATAATTACTTTAAGCTTCAATAGGAATGATTAAACTTCTTCAACTGGAATGACGTCACATGAGCACCGTCCACTCACTCATTAGCTAACGACATTGTGCTGCACGCATGCTTACCTGTCCGAAAGCAGGATGGAGCGAGCAGAAGCACAGCAAGGTGGTGACAATCACAGCCGACGCAAACATGTTTCCACGAACGCCAATCCAACGATCAGCAGTCCTCGAAGGTGTTGGAAGCTGTGCGTGCTTGGAGTCGGCAGCTCGGAGTGTGCAGAGAGTCCAGGTGAGAGAAAAGACCTCAGTTGGCAGCGGAAAAGCTGCTGCAGCTAAACAGCGTGGAATGCTGGGTTTACTCTTCAGGAACCAATCAGCAAAAGAGACTTGAAGAGAAATGTGACCACATTATTATCCCTTCACTTCATTTGGAGCGCACTTCCTGCTCAAAGCAGCTCGGTGATGGAGGGAATCTACAGAGGAGCTGTGCCCTCTGCAGGAATATATGCATACGTGCATTCCTGTACTGTACTGTAGAAGGACTGAACGCAACAGATGAGTCCCAGGTTACAAGCACAGAGCCCTGCCTGTCCTGGCTGACAGAGGGTTGTGGGGAGCTGGGGGACAGTGGGGTCAGGGGTCAACAACAGTGGTGATTTACAGTAACTACTAACTAACCATAGAACACCACTAAATTAAAAATTCCCCCCAGCGCACTGCTACTGGTCTGAAACTCCTCACAGTGACACCGCCTGTAAAGTAAGTAGTCGACTACATGGCTCTCAAATTACCTCGTGCATGTAACTCTGTGCTGCAGGGTGGTGCAGTGGTTAGCACTGTTGCCTCGCAGCAAGAAGGTCGCCGGTTCGCGTCACCGGAATCTTTCTTCGTGGAGTCTCCATGTTCTCCCCGTGCAGCGTGGGTTCTCTCCGGGTTCTCCGGCTTCCTCCCACAGTCCAAAAACATGATGAGGTTGAGGTGATTCTAAATTGTCCGTAGGTGTGAATGTGAGTGTGCTTGGTTGTCTGTCTCTAAGTGTAGCCCTGTGATAGACTGGTGACCTGTCCAGGTGTCCTCTGCCTTCGCCCTAAGTCAGCTGGGATAGACTCCAGCCCCCCCCGCGACCCTAGTGAGGATTAAGCGGTGTATAGATAATGGATGGACGTAACTCTGTTTATGTGATTACAAACTGTTGGCTGTGGAGAAAGTAAACAATATTTCTAATAACAAAACTGTCTTCATTTAAATAAGAGGATGAAGACATGCCATTAATAAAGCATCCATCTGGTAAATAGGCGTTTATCCTCAGTGTGTACACTCATACCACAGTCTGCAGTTCAAAGTGTAAGATGTATTAAGGAGACTAAGATATCGAGTGTTGCTTTGAGGAGCTTACAGTTGTTCCTTTGGTCGCTGGATTCACCTGAGAACTCATCTTGGTGGGTGGCTGTGTCTGAATGAGCTCAGAACAAGCTGCTGTCTGGCTCAGCATGGTGAGACAGCCCTGATGCAGCAAAACCAAAGAAACAAGAACCCAGCTGGACATCCTGGGGACTCAGTGCACAACTCACGCAGCCCACAGACATGAGTGGGACTCTATTGTGTCGTGCTTCAGACACTGAATCACACCGCAGCGTACAATCATGATTCATGCTTTCCAAACCGGATCCTTAAAGAAAACATTGTGACCACTTCTAAACAGGCATCCAGACAGCTTCATCCGGTGCCTTTCCACCCTCAGACCTATCTGGTCTTGTAGTACCACTCGCAGTTCTACCTACTCGTGTTCAGCTGCACTAATATAAAGATTGAATCAAGCAGCTCAATCTGTCCATAGCTCAGAAATACAGAGTCTATAAAAAGTATTCACCCCACAAAGAAGGTTTTCAACATTGAATCATCGTTAGTTTCATTCATCCAGCCACAAATTCTCCATCGGCTTGAGGTCTGCTCTCTGACTCACCTTGTTGTATTTACATCATTCCTGTTTAGCTTTGGCTGGAAAACAAATCTTTCCTCGTCGCAGTTCTCTTGCAGACTGCATCACATTGTCCTCCAGGGTTTCCCTATGCGGTACTGCATTCATGTTACCCTCCACCTTTACAAGCCTTCCAGGGCTGCTGCTGAGAGTCACAACATGATGATGCCACCACCGTGCTTCACACTGGGGATAGTGTGTTTGTGATTATGTTCGGCCAAACATCTACTCTGGTGGCCAAAAAGCTCAATTCTGGGCTTATCAGACCAAAGAACCTTCTTCCAGTTGACTGTGGAGGTCCACAAATGCCCTCTGGTGAATTCTCGTCAAGATTTCAGATGTTTTTTTTTCCAACAGTGGCTTTCTCTTTGCTTTGACCGGTGATGTACGGAGGAAACAGGTGTCGTATGAACAGTCTCCCATCTCAGCCACTGAAGCTCTTATAGAGGAGTCATAGGTGTCTTGGTTTCCTCCCTCACTGGTCTCTTGAGGATGTCCTGCTACAAATTTACACAGGAGCCATGTTCCTTCCATTTCTTAATGATGTATTTAACTGTACTCTACGGGATTTTCAAAGACGTGGAAATTCTCTTGTATCCATCCCCTGAGTTACGAAAGCTTTTTGGAGTCTTCTTTTGTCTTCATGATTGTCATGTCTGTCAAGTTTCTGTTCATGTCTGCACATTATGTCTCGTCTTTCCTGTTTTATTTTGAAATCACTTCACTGGGTGTTCGGTTCTAGTTTTACTTCCTGTACCTGTCTTGTCTCACCTGCTCCCTGATTACCTCCCTGCACCTGTTTCCCATCTACCCTCATTACCTCGTGTATTTTACCCTGTGTGTCTCACTGTCTCGTCGCCAGTTCGTTGCACTTCACAGTCCTCGTACCAGCATTATCCAAGTTAAGTCACAGTCTGTTTGATCTCGACCTTGTTTCTGCTTTTTGGACCTTGCTTCTGCTCGTCGATTCTTGGATACTTCTGCCTGTTGGACTGAATTTCTATGTACCGAACCCTGACCGTCATTAAACCTGTCTTTTACCTGAACCTACTGAGTCAAGCATTTGTGTCCACCTATTCTGTTAGTGAGTTCATGACAATGATGCAGTTCTAACCAGTGGCGTGGATTCACCAGTGACCTAGACCTTCCAGATACAGTTGTCTTCATACAGCAGTGCCTTGAGACACATTCACGGCACTCAGACAATCTCCTGACTTCAATGATTGTGTGACTTACTTGCAGTCACTTATTCTACATTTTTGATTTTTAGCTAATTGACATTGTAGAAATCTGTTTTCATTGTGACATGAATACTTTTTGGGTTTTTTTGGAAATTACTGTCAAAAAAGCCAAATAAAACTGATCATGATTCAACGTTGAAAAGCAATAAAAGAGAAAACCTTTTATAGGGAATGTAAAAGTTAAACTCTCGTGACTCATGTGAAACTAGACTAGACCGGTCCCTCAAAATCAGCTTAGCATCAATAACAATGATGAACATTCATGTTCAACCTCGTCATCGGAGTGGCTTAGTGCTCTTTTTGTCATTTAAAGGGGGTGGATTATGCTGGAGATGATTAAGTTGTATGCTTTGCATTTATTGTCTGACAGCCGCAGCACACAGCTGTTGTCATCGGTGGAAAGTAGACAAACAAAGCATTTTGTTTTAAATGGCCTTAAGACATAATTACAATGTTGAGATACTTTAATTGTTAAATTAAATTTTATATTACAGTGCTGGTATGATGCATCACATCATACCTTTGAGGAAACACATTTCACAACTATTGTTGTGATTCATGCTTTGATGAGCTCATCACACAGTCACATTACAGATGAGTTCAACGGTTACCAAATGCTTGTTAAAATCAGCTCAACCAGTTACAACATTAGAAAGCTACTTACGTGTTATTACATCAGTAATAATAATCCAATAATATCTCAAAATGGGGCAATTCTGCATTAAGAGAACTGAGTCTGATGCTCTGACTGTTCAGAAAAGGTTCAGTTTATTTCCAAGGCCTTTTTCAGAAACAAAACTGTCTTAATAAAAACATATAACAGCACCATGTACTTAATTGATTCAGTGATGTATTTTAGTATTTTTCTTAAAGAACAAGTCAGCTGAACTTCCTATGATCCTTCATATGGAGGATCCACACAGCTCCTGTCGCAGGTTTGCCAAACGTGCAGGAATGACTTCGACCAATTCGTCTCCAGCAGCTGAAGAGTTCTTGTAAGAACAGCAAACTCAACTTTGACATGTGCTTGGCGCTGCCGCGGGAGGTGAAGGCTCTTGAGCCGGTGAACAGAGAGGAGGGAGGAGAGGAGCAGGGAGGCAGGGTGACTGGGAACAAGTGGCCACTGTTGTTCAGGACGCTTCAGGAGTTTGTCATGAGGCTTCCAGCGGCTCTCCGGTGTTTGGATCCGTTCGTGCTTTTGTTCCTGCTGCTCCCGTTCACCTCACAGAACCGGATCATCGCAGAGACACCGGACCTCCAGATGTTCCCCACCTCCGGTAAATCCACGAAAACGCGCTCGGAGTTACGCAGGAGTCAGGTGGCCACGAGGGTCAGTGGTGTGGCGCAGCGTGGGCTTCATCAGCGCGCACCGTGGACCGTTGATTCTGTGTGTAAATGTAACTGTAGCGAGTTGGGTGTTTGAGAAAACAGTTTTATAAATAGAAGTGGGTTTTTTATCCTCATGTTGGCAACCAGGTGGAAATCATTTAAGCTGCAGACTCAAGTGGGATTTTCTCAGCTGCCTAAATTCAGCTGGCAAAGCACCAAGTGCCTGCTGCGCAGCACAACTGTGGCATTAACCTGAACAAATTTGCAGTCTGATGTTATTTTGCCAAACACATGGCAGAATTATTAACCCATCACTGGGGAGCTGAATCGTTTACTGTTTAACTTTGTTGATGAAATGTGCTGTGTAAGCAGAAACTTCAGCGCCAGTTTGATAGAAACAGAGCAGAGCCTGCTCATATTTATCCACATGATGTGCTTTAATGAATGATTTAAGGATGCAATAGCTTATTTAATGTAATATAGATGTTATTCAGCATGGATGAGGATACAAGAAAGGCTGAATTACTTTAACCATTTTATCTAAAAGCAGAAAACCTATAATAAATTATACTTTAATTTAGCAATAAACAGACACAAGGCCATAATAATGTTTATTAATGTACAGTTTTTGTCTTTAATATATCAGATCAAGTCAACTTTATGTTTAACACCAGCTGACAAAAGCCACAAAGACAAGATGAGGACTCTTATAATCAATCTGTAAAATACTGAAAACAAGAAAGAGCAACTTGTACGATCAAATTCTAAAATGTTAAAATATTAGGATGATTAAGAGCAACTAAAAGCCACTGAAAACACGTACATGCTGAGATTTTTCTTATCAACGTCAATAGAAACGAAGCATTTGATTGCGAGAGGAAGAATATTCCAAAGCTTTGTGGCTGCATTTATTATATATTCATATTACAATCACATATAACACAACAGTCCCTTAGCATCGGGTAAAACTGGTAAAAATATTGCTTCTGTTTGGATTGAAATTTTTGTTCGTTTACCCCAAATGACCCCATAAATGAGCGCGTGACAGACTCCATAAAGCCACGCTGCAAACTTTCACACTCTTCCCCTGACATCCACTCAAACAAGCCACCAGCACATTAGCATTCCGTTGCCACAGCGACAGCGGCAGCGGTATAGTAAACCAGCGTTTGTGTTTTCTTGCAGGACTCGGGGTGAAGGAGCACTCGCAGATTGTTGCCCAGCACAATAGACTGCGCAGCCGGGTCAAACCCATGGCGGCTAACATGCAAAAAATGGTTTGTGGCACCTATTGTCCGTCTCCTCTGTGCGTGTTTGAATGGTGCGTGATGCTGTCACGTTACTGTGAGTTTAACGTTTATCCCTTTGTGTGCTCTTGTTAAAAACCGGGGGGGGTGAGTGCACCGTCCACAGAGCTGATGATCACACCAGTCTATCTACCACAGGGGTGCCCAATCCTGGTCCTCAAGAGCCCCTATCCTGCATGTTTTAGATGTTTCCAACACACCTGATTCAAATGATCAGCTCATCATCAAGCTCTGCAGAAGCCTGATACCGATCCTGATCATTTGAATCAGGTGTGTTGGAAGAGGGAAACATCTAAAACATGCAGGATTGCGGCCCTCGAGGACCAGGATTGGACACCCCTGACCTAGACCTTCCAGATACAGTTGTCGTCATACAGCAGTGCCTTGAGACAATGTCTACAATGTCAATTAGCTAAAAATCAAAAATGTAGAATAAGGGATTGCAAGTAAGTCACACAATCAGTGAAGTCAGGAGATCGTCTGAGTGCCGTGAATGTGTCTCAAGGCATTGCTGTATGACGACAACTGTATCTGGAAGGTCTAGGTCAGGGGTGTCCAATCCTGATCTTCCAGGGTTGCAATCCTGCATGTTTTAGATGTGTCCCTCTTCCAACACACCAGATTCAAATGATCAGGATCATTATCAGGCTTCTGCAGAGCTTGACGATGAGCTGATCATTTGAATCAGGTGTGTTGGAAGAGGGAAACATCTAAAACATACAGGATTGCGGCCGTCGAGGACCAGGATTGGGCACCCCTGATCTATCACAGCTTTATAGGAATTACTGGTTTTTCACTATTGACTCTCTCTCCTCCTGGCAACAGGTTTTGAGCTTAATCAATATGTTTTTGAGTCCCATCCCTCCAAACCCTTAATGAATAGTGATGATGTAAAACCCAGCCGATGTGAATGCGAGCCAGCAGCTGAGAACTACAACAGGTAGTCGACTGGTCGCGGGCAAAGCAAAATTGCACACAAAGCACTAAACCGCCTTTGGTTCTACCTATTAAAGCAGGTTAGAGCACCATTTGTTCTGCTCTGCTGCAGGCTGAGTGATAGTGACGACAGTGAGAATGAGGCCGGAAATCAATTAGCTCGCATGGAGTCTTGTGATGGACGCACAATGAAATGACACCAATAGAATTAGTTTTTCTTCTCAGACAAATAAGGGTTTAAGCAAAGCGACATTTCCACTTGTTTGTGGTAACGATCAGCACATATAGTTAAACTCCTAATGTCAGAGGGCTGTGGTGAGGTCTTGGTGAACATGCAGCAGCTCTTAATGCTAAAATTCGTCTCAGGTTTTTCTAATCTCGCTAACCGATAAACAGTGAGAGCCAAATTGTCTCCCTATCTGACTTCATCTATTGCTTTGCCATACAGTACTTATCTGCACAACTGTCTTGCCTCGCACGTGATTACAACCGAGAGGTAATGACGGATTATGAAACTCACAATTCGCTAGATGCCCTCGGGGGCCTAATATGAGATTTGTTGCCAGGGCAAACTGTCACTTTGTCATAGATTACATCCTCAAAGCCACCCGTACAGACGGAGCCCCTTTTCTTCGACTGCTCTTCAAGCCTCGGAGAACTGTTCTCAACTGATAAGGCAGTAATGAGAAAAAGAGGATGTGGATAATCATTCTGCATTCACAACTCTGGTATTACAGGTAATTTCCCCGTGAAAACCCTCAGAGGAAGCTTTGCCGAACTGAAGAGGCATATTAAAGAGCTTTACTGATAAACGTTAAAAGGCTCAAGGCTTCGGCTGTGTTTGTGAATATCTGAATAAGGGTTTTTTTTTCTTTTTTTGCTCCATGCAGAAATGAACCAGTAAGCATTGTGGTGAGATTGTGTTGAAGTGATTTTTGTATAGTCCTTTAGGCTTTGCTCTCAGGATAAGATAAAACACATATACTTCCAGAAAGAGTAATGCTCCCCCCATCACCTAATGCAGGATTTCTTAGAGCTCTTGGGGATAAGAAGCATCATGACACAGACATTAAAGTCCACTTCTGATACGTAAACCTCTGTTTGTGAGATGTTATCCGACTAATCTCTCTCACACCTCATTTTGAATGCTTCATTAATTTATCGACCACCACGTACATCCGTGCTCTCAGTGAGCCATTCAAATCTCACAGCTGATGCAACGCGACGTGCTTGAAAATGAAATATCTCAGATGAAATATTGCCCAGTGACCTTATACCCCTGCCCCCGGTGGCATCAAAGACTTTGGCTCGCTGACGTTAGACAACAGAGTGAACAATGAAGTTAAGGGGCCTCTATTGTCGTACCTACATGTCGACATTAGATGATATGAGCGGTAATGAAGATTGACTCTTTAACTCACTGCTTAACATGTTGTAGAGCCTGCCAAGAAGACACAACATGTAAAAAAAGACCCGTCTGGATTCCTGGAGTCATATTTTTCCTCGTTCGGTCGAGAAACATCCATTTCATTCATTCATTGTTGAGCCGACTCTGCACATTCCTGCATGTTGTTTTCCTTTTGCTCGTCGTCGGAGTACCTGCGGAGCGATTGTGGAAAGTTTGTGTGGAATCCTGCTGTTTATTTAAATCAACCGCCAGCAAACCTTGTGCCACTTAGCGAAGTGTTTATGCACAATGAGTGTCAGTCTGTGTTTGTTGGCCCTGTCGTGGGCTGGCAGCTCGCTGAAGGTGTCTCCCTGCCTGCAGCCTGCTGTATACGCTGCCATTGGCTCTCGCCCCTGAAAAAGGATTAGGCATCTAAAGAAAATCACTCATGCACCATTAGCAGTGGCTCTCATGCCAAAGAGTTTTTTGTTTTTTTTAAACAATCCAGGCTCACATCAGTATCTACAAAGCACAAGATGAGTGTTATTCCATTAAGGTGCAAGTCCAAGTGAAGCAGCTTGTTATTTTGCTAATTGCAAGAGCAGTGAAGATAGAGGATTCCTGTTTCTAATTATTGATGTAATCGCTAATTTATTGTGATAAATGATCATTCATATACATTTCCAAAAGATAAAGTATTATATTCGGAGTGTCAGCTTTCACTACAAATGGTCAAATCTGATCCCGGCCGCTAAAGAAACTCCAATTCTTTACATTTTAATGCACATTTAAGAACTATTAAATGACACCGGAGCTATTAAATGACAGTAATGTCTTTATCTTCCAGGAGTGGAATGAGAAGTTGGCCGTACTTGCAAAGGAGAGAGCTGCATTGTGTCACGCGGAGCCGTCACTTCAACACGCCTCATCTTTCAGTCACACAGGCTGGAACACACGTCTCTCCGTTTACGGTGTCACGTCTTTTTCTGACATCATTGACTCCTGGTTTGAGGAGGGAAACGATTTTCTCTACTCGAGCGGGCGATGTAGAGAAAATGCCACCTGTCAACACTACACGCAGGTAAGCACACAAACTGTACAAGCTGTATATTTAGACGGAATTCTACGTTTATCCTTTCAAAATGCTGATGTGGTGCGTCTGAACCTTTTGTTGTTTTGCTGTTGTGTAGCTGGTCTGGGCTACTTCGAGTCACCTGGGATGTGCCGGCCAGCTGTGTCTGAGAGACGGGCAACTCTGGGAGATGTTTGTCTGCGCATATTATCCTGGGTAACGATGACACA